AATAAAGTTATAAATTTTTTAACTGCACACGAACTTTATGGACAACCTGTACAATGACACTGATTTAAAAATGTTAAACGCTTGATATAAAATAATTTCATTTTTATTGCTTCTTTCATCATCTAAACTAAAACTGTGTCAACTAAATAAAAATATTATGTAAGTCGGAGTGTTATCACCAGATTCATTCAAGCGAAGCTATCCTAAAGGAGCTGGAAATTTTACCAGTCCTGATACTATTGAAACCACGTTGAAATGAAATAATAATAATAATAATAATAATAATAATAATATGCAACTTCTACGGCAAGGAAACTGAAATAAACTGGTATGAACACCACCCAGACCCGGTTACAGAGATAGGACCTGTTACAATTCTATGGAACTACGCAATACACACTGACAGAACAATCAAGGCCAACCGCCCAAATATTGTTATTAAAGACCACAAACAAAAACGGTGCCTCCTTATTGATATGGCAGTCCCTGCTGACTGCAATGTATCTTTGAAGATATTCAAAAAGCTGTCAAAATACAAGGACCTTGAAATAGAAATCTCGAAAATGTGGCACATGGGAACATCAACAATCGCTGTTGTAGTTGGAGCCCTAGGACTGGTTGGAAAAGATTGCAGTAGACAAATTGAAGGGATTCCTGGAAGTCCATGCCTCAAGGAGATACAAAAAATTGTAAAGTACAGCCCACACATTACGAAGGGCTTTATCTATGTAATTTAACTTTTTTTTTTTTTTTTGTCAATGGAAAGTGTCATGAGGCCATTTCTAACCTTAGGTCCCTGGGCGGGACCCGGAAAGAAATATGTAAACGCCAGAAATCAAAGAAAATAATAATAATAATTTTGCTCTCTTAAATCTTTAACTTTATTTTTTTTAACTTGCTTTTGTGATTACGATGATAATGTATTTTAAGTATACTTTACATATGCATACGAACAAGCATTTCTTCTTTCAGAGAAAAGAAATATTCAGTTTTAGAAAAAAAGGAGCGGAGGAAAAGTATTTTCTTTTTTACTTCAAAAAATATTCATCAAACAGTGACACTTGAGTGGCGAATGATATAAACGCAATTCACAACAATGATGGCGAAGAGAGATTAAAAGAGTGTATCAGTAATACGTGCCTGTGGGTGGTCCAACAGAAGAACCACCCTTGAATTTATCGCAGGAGTTAAAGACAACTAATAAACACCGATGATAAACATACACAATGCAACGTAGCTTCCCACGTAGAACGACATACAAGGCACCGTAAAAGGTACATTACGTAGTCGTTATTGAAGACAGGAGTTACATACACTTCAATCTGCAAATTCATTGAATCATTGACGAAATTTAAAAAAAAAAAAGTTAGAAATGCCTATTATTGGAACTCCTCCAATGTCCAAATTAGAAAGGTATGATGAATTCTATAACATTTCTTGGTAGAGTGAGAATATTGATTAACGTTGAAGAACAACATTGCAACATTATGATTGTGTCGCCTACACAGAAGAACGATGATTTGTGTATTTATCTCAATCTCAAGTTTCATGTTTTATGACCAGCGGTAAAATCTGTGAAGTAGTGTCTTCAACACAGCCACCCATGTGATCAAAAGGGAACATAATGATAAATAAATGAAAACTTTTGGGAACAAGTGGCGACAAATCAGACACTGAGGATTTCCGGTCGCCTGCTTGTATTAGCTATCACTCAAAGTACTTCCGATGCCACACATTAAAATTGCCAGCTGCGCATGGTTATGTTGAAATGGGTAGATAGCAGGAATAAGTGTCGAGGGGGAAAACTGATCTATTAGAGATGTCAGAAGTGGCAGAAATTGTCTTTAAGTGTTTCTTACCGACCTACACAAATCGTACAAGAGTATCTCTGGAATAGACAATAAAATATACAATGTTCGTGTCTTCATTACTCACCATGGTGTTTATTTTCATCTTTCGTTTCCTTGTAGATTACAAGCTTTTCTTAAGTGGTGGTGTCGCTTGTAGCCATTTTCATTGGCTGCTTTTGGCGCTCATTGCCTGAGCGATGGCTAGGTCAAGTGCATAAAAGCACGGTATGCCATTTAAAAGGAGTCTCATTTCTGAGAAGGTGTTGCGTACTTGAGATGGAGTAACGCAGATAATTCTGCAATTGGTTTTCCTATTGGACTTGTATGTAGTTTGTGTGTGTGTGTGTGTGTGTGTGTGTGTGTAATTCCAACCAATTCTCACACACATGACATCAGTATCTGTCTATATTTCTGAGATGAGGTATTATGTACACTATTTACATTATTCGGACTATTGTCCTCATCTTTGGCGCCATATTTATTACAACGTTTCCGCCGTTGTACGTTCCGGCCTTCTTCAGGTGGTTGGAATGTCGAACTGAAACCTTTATTGTGAGTGTGAGTTCAATACCCGGTTAAGGCAGTGGAGAACTTGGAGAGGGTAATTAACAGGAGATAACTGATAACTGACATCCATTAAACATGGCACGTGGAACTAGAACAGTCTACCCCAGTGAGCGAAAGAAATTTGTCGCCATATTTATTACAACTTTTCGGCCTTTTAGTATCTGTCTATATTTCTGAGATGAGGTATTATGTACACTATTTACATTATTCGGTCTATTGTCCTCATCTTTGTCGCCATATTTATTACAACGTTTCGGCCGTTGTACGCTCCGGCCTTCTTCAGTATCTGTCTATATTTCTGAGATGAGGTATTATGTACATTATTTACATTATTCGGACTATTGTCTCCATCTTTGTTGCCATATTTATTACAACGTTTCGGCCGTTGTACGCTCCGGCCTTCTTCAGGTGGTTGGAAAGTTGAACTGAACCCTTTATTTTGCTCACTGGGGTAGACTGTTCTAGTTCCACGTGCCATGTCTAATGGATGTCAGTTATCTCCTTTTAATTCCCCTCTGAACACATGGAGACAGTGGATAAAGGCGTTAGTTAGATCCAGTGACAAGACCCAATGAGGCAAAAAAAAGCAAAAATGACACAACGTAGTATTTCATTGGCCAGCCAGTGAAAAACTGAGAATGTGCGAAATTGTATGTTTACAAGGTTGCATATAATGTGTAAGATATATATATATATATTACGACATCTTTATTTTATTAATACTGTTTGTGAATGATGCGATTTTTACGTTTTAATTCTTTAAAAAATGTATTTGGACTCATTATGATAATACAGGGTGCGATAGATAAATTGTCACCATTTTATATTTTTAATTTCACGCATGCGCATTGTTTGTTTTTGATTTTATCGACTGCACAGTATAGTAAGGTCAGCTAGTTACCATCTGTGAGAAAAAAAGAGCACCAGGATGCAATTCACTCAATAACTTCGAAACGGCATGCTGTATTGCTTGGCATTTGGACTAGAAGTTCCGACAAGATTTTTTTTCAAAAATGAATTGCTGGTATTAAAACCTATTTTTACACTTTCATAGTGTGTTAAACCCAGTTTGGGGGTTAACTATTTGCCCATAGCTGGGACCCTAACAGATGCTACCACCACGCGGACACCAGCAATTAAAAGCTGATTTCACGCTCTTCAAAGCATCCTGATCAGAGGCCTTGCTGACGGATTAAGTTTATCGTTATACCCAGGTCGCATTTTTGGTTGTTTGTGTGTGTTTGTGGGGGGTCTTACTCTTCTGAAGAGGTGGGGGGCAGTCGGTGTATTCTGAAGCCCCAGATGACAGAGCGAGTAATTATTGGAGAAAGAAAGAAAGAAAGAAAGAATAAAATGAGATTATTCAATAAGATGTCAGAAAGAAAGAAAATATAAAAAGTCATTACTGGAGAAAGAAAGAAAGAAAGAAAGAAAAAAGAAAAAAGAAAGAAAGAAAGAAGGAAAGCAGGAAAGAAATAAAAAGAGAAAGAAACAATAAAAGGACGATTTCGTAGAAAATGTGAGAAAGAAGAAAAAATAAAAATAAATGTCCGATATTGGAGAAAAAGAAAGAAAGAAAGAAAGAAAAAAGAAAGAAAGAAAGAAAAAAGAAAGAAAGAGAAAATAGATGCAAAGAAAGAAAGGCGTCAAATGTTGGAACTATGAGGAAAAAACAGAAAGAAAACAAGATAGACGTGAATAAGAAAAAAACGAAATCATAGGAGAAAGAAAGAAAGAAAGAAAGAGGTCGATTTTGGAGAAAAATTGAGAAAGAAAGAAAAAGAGAAAGAAAATATGAAAAAGACGGAATGAAAGAAAATAAGAAAGAGAAAATAGATATAAAAAGAAATACAGAAACGCACAAAGAAAGAAAGGTGATAAATTGGAACTGATTAAAAAAGAAAAAGAAAAGAAAGGAGACGTGAATAAAGAAAGGAGAAAGAAAGAAAGAAAGAAAGAAAGAAAGGAGGCGTGAAAATAAGAACAAAATAAATTGAAAAAAGTAATGAAACATTGTAAAATATTTTTCGAGACCAGGCAAAGAAAACGGGAAGAAAACAATGAATATCAAATAACCAAAACATTTTCTTAAAAATTAGAAAAAGGAGGAAACTGAGTTAAAGGAAGACGTACACATGCACACATATATGCACAAATACATACACACTCAGACAGACACACACATTCACAATACAAAAACAAAACAAAAAAACAAAACAAGCTAAAAACGTAATTTTGTTGTTGCTTTTTGATTCTTACAATTGCAATTTACATTCTTAAGATGAGTGGCTCAATTCTTTCTGCCATCAACTTCGCGTTTCAACATCTCAATTCGAAATCTGACTTGGACGCTTTTTCTCGTTGTTCTGGTAAATAACTTAATTTGTTGTTCTTTTTTAATTGTTTAAGTCTTTTTTTCTTCTTATTTGTCTGTGTATGTGCATGTAATTAACTGTGTACGTGAGTTCGTGTGTGTGTGTGCGTTTGTCTGCGCTCGCTCGCGCGTGTGTGCGTGTGCTTTAATAACAGCTTGCAACCTCTTGTATCCACAGAGCAACGCCGAATGACAGGCCACACAATCTGATGCTTTTCTTCTTTGCCTCGTTTTCCTTTTCCGAAGCAATCACGAGTTTGTTCTTTTTCATTGATGTCTTCTTTCATTTTTTTCTCTTCTTTCATTTCCTTTTTGTTCTTTTGACAACCGTTTATTTATTTATTGATCTGCGAGCTGGGATCAATAAGTTCGTAGCATGGTACTTAGTTATTAGCATAATTCGGATTTGAAATGTTCGTTGTATAATATTCAAACTATGTAATTAATATATACCACATGTTCATTATCTATCTATCTATCTATTCTAGTCTGTTCATTATTATCTATCTATCTATCTATCTATTCTAGTCTGTTCATTATCTATCTATCTATCTATCTATTCTAGTCTGTTCATTATCTATCTATCTATCTATCTATTCTAGTATGTTCATTATCTATCTATCTATCTATCTATTCTAGTATGTTCATTATCTATCTATCTATCTAGTATGTTCATTATCTATCTATCTATCTATCTATCTAGTATGTTCATTATCTATCTATCTATCTATCTATCTAGTATGTTCATTATCTATCTATCTATCTATCTATTCTAGTATGTTCATTATTCATTATCTATCTATTCTAGTATGTTCATTATCTATCTATCTATCTATTCTAGTATGTTCATTATTCATTATCTATCTATCTATTCTAGTATGTTCATTATCTATCTATCTATCTATCTATTCTAGTATGTTCATTATCTATCTATCTATCTATCTATTCTAGTATGTTCATTATCTATCTATCTATCTCAATTTGTTCATTATCTATCTATTTTCGTTCACGTCAGTCTTAACGATTACGTCTATCTTTTATATATTCAGTAGAGAGAGACGGGGAAAGGAAGAAGCTTCCATATTCAACAGCATTGCAAAGAGGCAGAAACATTGTTGTGATTGGACATTTAAAATGTTAATCTTAAGCAACAAAACCAAATGCAGCAATAGAAAAGACAAGAATAATTTATTTCATGTTTGAGCAAAGAGCTAGAATAGATGTCTGTCTCGTGACTGATAAAGTTGCGCACTTCTATTAAATGCTAGAATAGGTCTGTCTTCGAGGTCAAGTAAAAACCAGATTTCCAAATACCGATTTTAAAAACAGGACGGCTTTCTTCATATTTGCTAATCCAAGATTATTCCAATACAAGACCAAATGGGGAAGCATGGCGTTAAGAAGACTGTGCTACGGCAGCATTTGAAATAATTTTGGTTTATCTTCCCCATAATAATCTAATAATAATCTAAGATCGTAAACCTGCTTGACGAGTAAGACGATGAGTAAAATAGTTGTGTAATTCATCCGGTGCAAGCAGTCTGTGTTCAAGCACAAGCAACATCCAGGAAAGCTGCTGTTGCAAAGTAGACAATTCTTCATACCTGGAAAATTGGCAAAGCACAGTCTTCTCATTCGTATTTTTTCCAATCTCATGTATATAACGTCACGTTTGGTAAAGAGTTAAAACATATATTTGTGTTATGAGGAATATTTCTGCTTCAAGAACTCTAAACATCATAGAATTATGTGTGTGTATGTGTGTGTTGGGTAGTTAGTTGGTTATATAATAATAATAATAATGAATAAATGAATAATCAGAATAAAGACGAGTATTTCATGGCTTCAGAAGTCCGCGTTGCTTGGCACTGCAAATATTCTGATAAAAGGTGCACACTGAGTATGTCCAACTTGATGGACAACACGAACGATGCAAGATATCTGGCTGAAAACGAAAACCGCACGAAAGATAATAATAATAATAATAATATTGATAATAATAATATTAATAATAATAATAGTAAGAATACTAATAGTAATAATAATAATAATGGTAATAATAATAATAATAATAATAGTAAGAATACTAATAGTAATAATAATAATAATAATAAGTTGTTATTTAAGATCACAAACAATAATAATAATAATAATAATAAATTGTTATTAAAGACCACAAACAAAAACGGTGCCTCCTTATTGATATGACAGTCCCTGCTGACTGCAATGTATCTTTGAAGATATTCAAAAAGCTGTCAAAATACAAGGACCTTGAAATAGAAATCTCGAAAATGTGGCATATGGGAATATCAACAATCCCTGTTGTAGTTGGACTGGTTGGAAAAGATTGCAATAGACTAATTGAAGGGATTCCTGGAAGTCCATGCCTCAAGGAAATACAAAAAATTGTTCTGACAATTACAGCCCACACTTTACGAAGGACTTTATGTAATTTTTTTTTGTCAGTGGAAAGTGTCATGATGCCATTTCTAACCTTAGGTCCCTGGGCGGGACCCGGAAAGAAATATGTAAACGCCAGAAATCAAAGAAAATAATAATAATAATAATAATAATTACAATAGTAATTTTTACGGGAAGGAACTGAAAGAAACTCCTATGAACATTACCCAGACTCAGTTACAGAGAGAGAACCTCTATGGGATTTTACAATACACACAGGCAGAATAATCAAAGGTAATCGCCCAGACATCGTAATCTGTGGCCACAAAAACAGAATATGCCTTCTTACTGCAGTCCCTGCAGATTATAATATATCTTTGAAGCTCCTCACAAAACTATCAAAATACAAGGAGATTGAAATCGAAATCTCAAAAATGTGGCACATGAGGGCACCAATAATTCCAATTGTAGTTGGAGCCCTCGGATTGATTGGAAAAGATTCCAATAGAATCCTTGAAGAGATTCCTTATAGCCTAAGTCTTAAATAAATACAAGAAATGCACTCACAAGTACAGATACATGACAAAGGTATTATCTATCTTAAATGTGATCCTAGGTTTTTCTTTTACTCAAAAACTGCTCAGTTGAAAAAGTCATGATGCCATTTCTGACCTTAGGTCTCTGGTTGGGACCCGGAAGGAAATGTGTATACAACAGAAATCAAAGGAAATAATAATAATAATAATAGCCCTCATGATACACAAGGCATAGCTCTCATGGCTTCTTGGCTTATCTGATTGGAGGTATTAACATATATATGTTGTGTCTCGGTGAATTAAATATCCTGTTAGGCATCACGAATTGTTTTAATCATTCCATTCCAAGCAAGGCGATAACACCCCTAAGATGCTGTGAGTGAAAGAAAATGAGAAAAAAAAATTAGCGAGGGGAAAGGACAATAAATGAATAAGATTCAAGGAAACAGAAGACAACGATTGATGTTACATTTAAAATTTTTGAAGATTGTGAGTAACAGGAGAGATTGCCACAGGCAAGAAGTGCAAGAGAAGAAACTATCAGAATAGAACTTACGGTTACATATAACTATGTCAACTGTTCCAATAAAAAGATGATGATAGCTAGTTACCAATTTTAACAACGCTTAAATTCATTAGAACAATTGTTATGAAGATAATTTATAGAAAAAAAACTCTGGGAGTCACATTACGACGGTGTGCAAGTAGTATATTGCCTCTGAGCTCAAATAAGAAGATGAACACTTATATGTATAAATATATAAATATCTTTATTGTTCTAGTTGCCGTAAATGGGTAGAATGAGGGAGAATCAAGAGAGATTAGGTTTGCACACACAAGAATTGACGGAGACAAATCTTTTGTGAACCTCCAGCCAGCCTCTCCGTCCAGATCAAGAATCGGACCGGTTAAATAACATTTGGATACCTCCACAACTTTGTGTGGTCACGCCTCTTCCCGCATACGCCCACACAAGCATGCATTTTCTTCCGCTAAGGACAACTGTGCACACTGTTTGTTCTAGGCTGATTATTTTAGCCACTGGATGCATTTCCTGTTTATGCTATCATCAATTCCGATTTCTGCTCACACATTGATGCAGCGGAAGTAAGTCCAAAAAACTTTCTTCAACCGATATCCAACAAAAGTAATTGAAACCGAGATGCCAGGTCAGGACCGATAGCACTGCAGATTCGTTTTTGGATTTTGTCAAGAATCAGAAGTAATCAATGCACGGACAAATTGTAGATTTATAAACATGTATGATGTATTCAGACAAGAAAAATCGTTTGGCAGTACAAAGGGGACATATTTTTCTAGTAGCAATCCTAGTAATATATTCAATATAATTATTTCACTTCATATCAGTGAAAATCGGAAGACCAAGAAAGCTGAGTGAATTTCACTGCTGGAGGTTAGCATCAGCCAGTAAGGGAAAAACGTTTCTATAAGATGACGAAATGATAGCAGTATCGTTTTGGGTTCGTTAAAATTTACAAGCCATTTCTTGGTCCAGTTAACAACAAATTGAAGGTAATTTTCAAGATCAGCGACCAGTTTTATTTTATGAAACCTATCTGACTTACTAATAAGACAGGAGTAAATACTGATGACATAGGGCCCGAGTTGGGAATAGATGACATCGGGGAGGTTCTTGATTTTGCGTGTCAATTGTCCCCAAAATTGTCGTCATATTTCGCATATTTGGCTGTGATGCATGTACCTGGTGCAATCCTATCAAACTGGGTGTTATGATGGGTTTATTGGTAACCGTATATTTGTACTTCAGCGTCATTTTGATGGCGTGATGCTCTCTCTCAATAATAATAATAATAATATTCAACCTCGCTCGCAGAGTCACCAAATGTTATAAAGAATAAACGAATGAACATAATTTGCAAGTTCAGCTTGATTGAGAAATCTAGGTAAATCGAACAGACATAATTGACAAAAATTATGTTGAAAAGCAGGTCTTCGGATAGATTTTGCAGGACCAGCCAACAAAATCACATCTTTGAAAACTAAGTAAATACAAGGGCCTAGTCATAGAAATCAGTAGAATTTTGTCATCGCAAAACAACATTACCTGTTGTTATTGGGGCTTTGGGAATTATATCAAAAGGCGAAAACTATAAAATAAGTGGAGCAAAATTTGATAGATCTTAAATATGGGAATTGCAGAGGAACCCAAACCATGCGTACTTTTCACAAGTAGTTTAGATTTTTTCCCATTCAGTAACCACAATTCCATTTTTTCTTTTTAATTGCATGACATGTCTCTTGTTTTCTTCTTCCTATATAAAAATTCGATAGTGCTGTCTATTGAAATCTCCGTTTGAGACTTGGGAGAAACTTGTACTGCACAAACAAAAAGGCAAAACCTAATAATAATAATAATAATAATAATAAATCAAAGCTGACCGCCCAGACATTGGAAAAGAGACATTAGAGACTACAAACAAAAAAAGTGCCTACTTATTGATATGGCAGTCCCTGCAGACTGCAATGTATCTTTGAAGATCTTCAAAAAGCTGTCAAAATACAAGGACCTTGAAATCGAAATCTTAAAAATGTCGCACATGGGAACATCAACAATCCCTGTTGTACTTGGAGTCTTCGGATTGGTTGAAAAAGATTCCAATAGTCTAATTGAAGGGATTCCTGAAAGCCCATGCATTAAAGAAATACAAAAAATTGTTCTCACGAGTACAACCACACCAGGGCTTTATGTAAAATATTTTTTTTTTTGGTCAGTGGAAAATGTCTTGATGCCATTTCTAACCTTAGATCTCTGGGCGGGACCCGGAAAGAAATGGGTACACACCAGAAATCAAAGGAAATAAAGTAATGATAATAAACAGAATGTGCTTTCTTATTGACATGGCAGTCCCTGCAGATTATAATGTATCTTTAAGAAATACAAAACACTATGACAATCTTCAAGCGGAAATCTCAAAAATATGGCACATGATATGAGTTGGAGCCCTCAGATTGATTGGAAAAGGTATCAATAGACTCATTGAAGGACTCACTGGTAGCTCATACCTTAAAGAAATACAAAAAAAATTGTGCACACACGTATGACTCACACATTATGAAGGGCTTTATTTATGTAAATTGTGTGTGATCATAGACATTTTTTTTTTTACAAAAATGATTTTTGGAAAATTTCATTAAGTCATTTCTTACCTTAGGTCTCTGGTTGGGACCCGGAAGTAATCAAAGGAAATCTTAATAATAATAGATCTACGACAGCGGCAAAGAGCCTAAAAAAGAAAACAAAACCAAATGCAATGGATCAAATGCAGAAATGATAGAACGATAAACTTGTTCATGGCCAATACTTTGCCGTGTGAAACAAACTGATGCAGACACCCCCCCCGTACCCATCAGTGGCTACGTAGTGCAGGGTTAAAAGCTGAAACCGTAGGTTTTATTCTTGCTGCACAGTACCAATGTTTGCTAACTAGAAATTACCAAGAACACATACAGAAAAATTGTATTCACTCGAAATGCAGATTCTGTGACAAATATCCAGAAACAATTGACCATCATGTATCAGGTTTCACGGTATTAGCATCCACTGAATATAAACCTCGGCATGGCAGAGGTAGTACATGGCCAATATCTGCACTGGAAAATATGCAACTTTTACGGGAAGGAAAATGTAAGAAATTGCTATGAACACCACCGAGATACTGGGTCACGTAGCCACGATTTCATTAACCATATAGGCGTTAGGCTAAAGTAAAATCTTAAATAAAGAGAAAACTAGTTAGATATAAAAGAAAGATAAATAAATAAATAAAAACAGAAATTTAATCCAATGCTTCCGACTCGCGAGCGAATATATTCTATGATCAGCCATATCCTTCCTTTCTTTTCCCAAATTCTTTCTCTCTTTCTCTACTCTTCCACCCACAAGCCAAGGGCCCGTGAACTTCGAAGTGACCCGACGCGAGGATGACCTGGTTCCAAGATTTCGCGTTTGACCATGAGTGAATTCCAGGCACCATCAGGGTCTCCTGCTGTGATTCACGTGATCGGGACGTACGGAGCATGTGTTGAACTTTTGGCCATCACACAAGCACTGCGTGATTTGCGCCCTATCCTCCTGCGTACCCGGTCAAGGACGAAGGGAACCCACGTGACTGTCGTTGGGGACAGCGAAAACCAAAAAAGGATTCTTCAGTTTCCCTCTGACCAGCGGCAGTTGAACGTCGCTGGGCAAAAAATCGTCAGACCGCCCACTGAGATGAGGGAGACCACAAAGTCTGTCGACGAGTGATGGAAAGGCTGCTATGGACTGGTCGACCCAACCAAATGCCTGTATAAAATGCTGGGGACCCACGAACACTCGCGAAAAGAAGAAGAATCCAGGAACATTGTCGGCCGGCCAAGATATTGTCTTATCATCAGAACTCTCGCTTCGGCGAATCAAAACTTTGTGAAGATATCAACCCGACTGCAAGATAAGTTGGTTCGTTTGGCTTGATCTGTTTTCATATATGTATGTATTCGCTCGCGCCTTCTATTCTTTAATGATGTCTTCCCCCTTTGTTAAATGAATGTTCTTTTTTTTTCTTTCTTTCTTTACTTCGTTATATATATTTATAAATAAATGTTTTATTTTGAAATCCATCGTCTTGTGCCTGTTCTTCGTTGATTCCCTTGTGTCGCTTCCATTTCTGAGTGAAGACCGAGAAAAGAAACCACGTTTTCCTTTTTTTTTTAGAACCCGTGGTTCATCTATATGCTACAAGTTCGTAACAACTGTTACAAACATAAAACCTCTAACAATTTTATGGAACTTTACAATACACACAGACAGAATAATCAGACCTAATCATCGTTATCAAAGACTGCGAAAAACAGAATCTGCCTTACTGACTTGGTAGTCCCCGTAGACTGGAATGTATCTTTGAAGATCTTTAAAAATTATCAAAATACAAGAATCTTAAAGTGAAAATCTAAAAAAAATGTGGTGTATGAGGACATCCATAATTCCCGTTGTAGTTGGAGCCCTCGGATTGATTGGAAAATGTCCCTATAGACTCAATGAAGGAATCACTAGCAGTCCACATCTGAAAGAAATACAAAAAAATGTACCCACAAATACAGCTTTTGAAGAGCATTATCTCTGTAAAATATGTGTGGTCTTAGGTTTTGCTTTACAAAATACTCTGTGGAAAATATCATGATGACATTTCTGACCTTAGGTCTCTGGTTGGGGCCCGGAAGTAAATCAATATAGAACAGAAATCAAAGAAATAATAAAAAAAAAATAATATTTTATCGACTCCATTGTCGTGCTGTGTTGTGCTAGACAATTTTTTCTCATTCGAATTTTCCTGCAAATTTATAAGTTACCATTTATTTGTGCACTGAATATTGTTGCCAAATCTGATCTGGTTGTTCTGTTATGCATCTAGAGAATATTGACAAAATCCAAAGAAGAATCTGCAATGGTATCAGTACTAACCTGGCATCTCGGTTTTAATCTCTTTTCCACTGATGTAACACAGCTTCCTTGTAACTTTTTGTATAAATATTTTCATGGCAAATTTTTTGACAAGCTTTCTTTGGTACCTCGGCGTCATGTATTTAAGCGCAGTACTAGATTGGCAGTTAGGTCTTCTCGTTTTACTTTTGAAATTGACCGTAACCGTAAGTTCTATTCTAATAATTTATTTTATCGCACTTCTCGCTTGTGGAACTCTGTTTCGGTTACTTGCTTTCCTGTCAACAACAATCTTCAAAAATTTAAACGCGACCTTAATCGTCATCTTCAGTCTACGTTTATCTGTTCTTTTATTGTCCTTTATCTTGAATAATTTTTTTCTTAGTTTTCTTCACTTTCCGTGATTCCTTGCATTTCAGTGGCTTTATAGCCTTGCTTTGGATGAAATGCTTAATAATAATAATAATAATAATCTCTATCTATAAAAGGCAGGATGTGTGTGTGTGTGTGTGTGTGTGTGTGTGTGACGAATGCATGGCCGCAATTTTCGACGGATTTGCACCAAAATGTACATGCACATGCTCCAAGTTAGCGGGAAGGCCAAGACTGACTTTACATTTCCCAACTCCCATCGATAGTGGAAATAATCGATTTTTTCATGCTTCTACGACAGTTTTCATGTAGTTTGCGGCCATTTTGTACTGGCCAAAGTGAGAGCCTATAGCTGGCTGCCACAAATATGCAGGAAGATTCTATTGGCCAGCGTGAGAGCCAACGGCTGACTGACACGAATGTTAACTAGCATGCTAGCATGCAAAAAAATCGATAACTGCATTCGTCACAAGTGGGAAAAATTTAAATCTGCATGGCACTTTACTCCAATTGGCTCATTCGCTTGCTTAAACTCAACGTTGATTCTGATTCTGCAGAACTGGGTTGGGTGTGAAAAAGTATTTGTTGTTAACAAGTACGGGCAACGCCGGGCCATGCTGCTAGTAGTAATAATAATAATATGACTGCTGGAAATTGCAGCCAAACAAACAAGAGAACAAATACTGATAGTAAAAACAAGATGCTAAAAACGGAAAGAAACAAGAAAACCATGGAGATTTCGAGAGACCTGAAAGAATTAGAAGCTGCAATGACAGAATCAAGATTATTCAGACTGTGGCGGAGGAAAGAAAGAAAATTCTTGTTAACATCAATCGAGAACAAATGTATTAGACTAAATTCTGTTATGGCCAAGAGACACGAGAAAACAGAACAGTAAATGTCGCTTATGCTGCGAGAAATATGAAACCGTAATTCAAATAAGAAGTGAATGCGGGAAATCGGACCAGGAAGGGTTTTAGAAGGGACAAGGGTGTGTGTGTGTGTGAAACTTTATCCGATTGGCATTAGCTCATAAATTTATGCCATCGTTGATTGAAAGACTCATTCCTTTCTTCCATCTCTTCTTGCCTTCTTTTTGATAAACATACATTCACGTCTCACTTCTAATAGTATCTATCTATCTATCTATCTATCTATGTGTTCATTTCTTTCTTTCTTTCTAGCTAAGTGTTCGTCTCTATCTATCTATCTATGTGTTCATTTCTTTCTAGCTAAGTGTTCATATCTATCTATCTATCTATCTATGTGTTCATTTCTTTCTTTCTTCCTTTCTTTCTTTCTTTCTAGCTAAGTGTTCATATCTATCTATCTATCTATCTATCTATTGAGCTAGCTAGCTATGAAAAACCTATGAAAAGAATATGAAAAGACTATGAAAAAAACCATGAAATAGTTTTTCTCTGTCCGACTTCCTGTCTCTCTCTCGGGTGTCCGAGCAAATGTACTCCCTCTTTAATTGACAATAAATGCATTGTTTATTGACTTACAAACAAGAATGGTTTAATATGAATAATTAATATGAAATTAAATTAAATGCATAATTCTAAAAAAAAAAAAAATTAAAAAAAATCAAGTTATTGGAAGTAAAAAGGTGAGTGCATTTTTTAGATAAACCTCTTTATATATGTCTGTATATAGCTATCAATTTATCTATCTCTTCTGATAGTTCTCTCTCATTGTTTGTCTCTCTATATATATCAGTCTATTTCTGTTTGTCTATCTATCTATCTATCTATCTGTTCATTTTTTCTTTCTTTCTTTCTTTCTTTCTTTCTAGCTAAGTGCTCATATCTATCTATCTAGATATCTATCTGGCTAGCTAGCCAGCTAGCTAACGTTCTACCCTCCAGCTGGAGTACCAGGTATTGCCTAAATATTCAACAGATTTTAACAGTGTTCAGATAATTTTATCTCTTAAGTGACCCACAGTTTTCGTGTCTCCTATAATATTTCGCACATCTCTTGATATCACTCCATCGGGAAACAAAGAACTCTTTTTCTGTCAATTTCTGTCTTAGTTTTGAAGTGCTTTACTTTTGATTCTTTAATAAAAAATAATAAGTGATAAATAAAAAGTTTGTACACACCACCAAAAGAAGGCATTGAAAAATGTGTTGCTAATGGATGTAGGTCACTGGACTTGTACGTGGTAAGCAGCGAAAAGAACACCACAATTATGTGGTGAAATCCAACAATTTTTAAAAGAGATCATTGCTTGCAAAGTAGAGTACAGGAAGAGGGTATTCAAAGAGAAGCTAAAAGCACGAGAGAAAATGATGTTTTCTGAACAGATCGAGTGGGACACTAAGGCCAGTAAGACAAAAGATTAACAGGATTTGTTGACGTAGGCGAATTGAAAGCCTAGCTGCATCTACTGCAAGGAAAGTTAGGTCACTTTGTCGTGTTAGAACATTTTCCTATCAGAGTTCATCTTGCACATTTACAAATCAACCATTCGTCTGTGCATTGAATACTGTTGTTATATATGGTCTGGTGCTCCTGCTATTCATCTCAAGGTTCTTGACAAAATCTACATCTGCAATGTAATCTGAGGATAAGTAGAATTGACCCTTTTATAGGGTACTGCTTGGAAACCCCAGACACTGTAACTGAATTTCTACAAGCCTTCTTGTCCTAAATCTTGTCGAAGCAATAACTGCATCTACTACAAGGAAAGCTGGGTCACTGTGTCGTGCCAAGAGGTTTTTCTCATCAGAGTCCATCTTGCACATTTACAAATCTACTATTTGCCCATGCATGGAATACTGCAGCCATATCTGGTCTTGGTGCTCCTTCTATTCATCTCGAGGTTCCTGACATAATCCAAAGTATAATCTGTAATGTTATCGATCACAACCTGGCATTTCGACATCAGTCCCATTCTCACAGACATGACTGCCTGTATATTTTCTAGAAATATTTTCATGGAAACTGCTCTGACAACCTTTTTTTTCCTGATGCTCTGACTACATGAGTTTAAACGTTCTACTAGATTGGCATCTAGGTCCCATCCGCTTACTGTAGAAATAGCTAAATGCAACCGCCAATTCTACATCAATAGTTTCTTTTCTCGCACTTCCCACCTGTGGAAGTCCTTTCCGTTTACTTACTTCCCTGATAACTACAATCTTCAAAGATTTGAATGCAATGTCAATCGTTATGTTGTATCTTCTTGAATCCCGTTCATCTTTTGTCCTTTCCACAATCCTCCCTATACTCAGTCTTTTCTCTCACCTTCACTCCCTGTAACCCTCTGCATATTAGTGTCATTCCCACCTTGCTTGGGGTGAAATGATTAATATATTTTAAAAGCAACATCAATCGCCATCTTCTATCTTCTTGAATCCCGTTCATCTTTGTCTCTTCCTCAATCCTCCCTATACTCAGTCTTTTCTCTCACTTTCACTCCCTGTAACTCTGCATATTAGTGGCATTCCCACCTTGCTTGCTGTGAAATGATTAACATAATTTTAATTGTCAATCGCCATCTTCTATCTTCTTGAATCCCGTTCATTTTTTTGTATTTTCCTCAATCCTCCCTATACTCAGTCTTTTCTCTCACTTTCAATCCCTGTAACTCTCTACATACTAGTAACATTTTAAAAAGATCTAAATCTCTACAGAAAACATCAATCACCAAATGGATTCGAATAAGTTCAGGTTGTGTGGCATGGAAGAGGGAAATGTCAGCTAAATCATTGCACAGAAAGAATACATCAAATTTTCCAACTTTGAAAACTTTAGTCAAAAAATAGATAGCCTAAGATAAACATTTTACATCGATAAAACCCTTCGTAATGTTAGAGCCGTACTTGTGAGAACTAGACACGTGTCCGGGTGGTTAGGACCTTCTCATTCTGACAATCTGATGTTATCGGTGATGTTATCGGACTGGAGGGGCCGATCCCTGTGTGCGGCGCCTTTGGAAAATGCCGGAAAACCATACCGCGGGTTGATCCAAGCCTTGTGAATTAAATTGGGTAGACAGAACCGTCGATGGCTGTGCTAGCACGAAATCTAAAGTCATCGTGGCCGAGGGCTTGAGCGTGCTGGCCTTGTTCAAACTGTTGATCACGCTAGATAACACGCTCTTTCCCAGAAACTGTAACTAAGGTCTGCATAGTTGCAGTATAATCCACAGGTGGGCTCTGTGGTTGTTAAATAAACAAAAATGCGATTGAGCAAGCGTATGCAATAGGGATTGGCTACCCGCCCTAGTAGACAGGTATCCTTGAATACGAGTGGCCAGCTATACACTTGTATGGGTTTTAAATGTTTCCCTCAATGAGGCTATCAGAATCTTTCCAATCAAACAGAAACCTCCAACTATGACTGGAATTATTAATGATTTCATGTACCACATTTTTTTTTAGATTTGCACTTCAAGATTCCTATATTTTAATAGTTTTCTTGAAGATCTTCAAAGATCGATTAGAGTTTGAAGGAACTGGCATATCAATAAGAAAACATATTTTGTTTTTTGTTTTTTGGTTACTATGTCTAACAAGTAGCTATGATTGTTCTGTCTATGAGTATTGTAAAATGCTATAAAATTCTGACAGGTTTTATGGCTGGTTTGGGTGCAGTTCATACCAATTTCTTTCAGTTTTCTTCCAGTAAAAGTTGCATTTTCCAGTGCAGATATTGGGCCACCATATTATACCGAGTTGTATATTCAGTGGATGCTAATATCGTGAAAGCTGATACAAGATGGTCAATTGTTTCTATATCACAGAATCTGCTAACACATTTTTTTAGTATTTTTATTTCGTAATCTCTAATTACCAAGCATTGGTTCATTGCAGCAAAAAACAAAAAACAAAAACAAAAAAAGAACAACAAAAAAACAAAAAAAAGTGAAAAAACTGATATAATGGAATATGCATACACCTGTGTTCCTCCTCACTGGAGTGTGATTGGCTGGTGTCCGTCATAAATATCGACGGACGTGTAGGAGAGTCAGAAGGGAAGTCAGGGCCTTAGTCTCAGAGCTAAGTCTATAACGACGCCCATTGGACTACGCCATTGATCTACACTTCTTACCTGCGACTACGACGCGTACCAATCAATTTCTGCTACCGTATTCTACTTGGTTATAGTAGCCAAAACTACTTAGCTACTTCGTTCAAATATATCCCTTTCCGGGACATATAAAAAACAAAACAAAACAAAACAAACAAAAAAAAAAAACTTTTCAGCTTTTAACCTTACACTACGTAATTACTGGTAGGTAGGTTTGTTGTCTTCATCCGGTTGTTTGGCACGGGTATTGACTATGAAGAGGTTTATCTAGCCATCGTTTCTGTATTTGGTCCATTGCATTTGCTTTTACCTTCTGTTTTAAGTTCTTTTCCAATGCAGGATGTGGATTAAGGTTTACTTGTTCTTTTCATCAATCGGAAATACCCTTAAAAATTGTTGGCTTCCTTTACTAATGAATAACGTTTCTTATTTCTTTTCGTGTTCTTTGACACATCCATCCAGTCTTTTGTAGTTTCTCGATATCTTTGAATACCGAATGTTGTAGTTTTATAAGACAGTTCTAGTTGAACTAATCCTCCGACTTCTTCGGATCTAGACACAAGCAGACGATCAACATCTACCTTGCTTAATGTCAGGTATAGTCCATTTAAAGATATTGAAACTGTATTATACCACAGGGAGAGCTAAAGTGTTTATGGTTAATATTCTGTTTTGTGAATTTAAATGATGGAGAAAGTAAATACTATTATATTTTTTCTTACTTTCTCCTTCATTTACGTACGTTGTATTCCATCTCCTTCGCTGGCTCCGAGGTATTTACAGTTTGCTTTTCTTGTTCGATCCTCTAATCTTTGTGAAAAAATCGAAGTCTACTGAGCGTATTTCGGTAATTCTGTCATTTTCATATTTATCTAACCCAAAACCCTTACCGATGTCATCACTGAAATATTTGACAGTACTGAGGAGAGCTTTCAACTCATTTTCGTCTTTGGAAAAAGGTTTGAAATCATCCATGTAGAATAACTGATTAGATACCTTCGTGTTTATTTTGTACTAGCAGCATGGCCCGGCATTGCCCGTGCTTGATTCAAGAATCGTACGACTCATACAGCAATCGCTATCACTTGACTTAAAATATTTTTGCCCTTTCTTGCCTTTAAAGGAGTGCCCTTTGCCGTGCTGTTGTTGCTACATGCCTTACTTCTTGCCTATCTCACACTGTGTTGAAGCTTGAATAAGCATGGAATAATAATAATACAACACAAATGTACGTAACAAAATGTATTGAAACAATGAAAAAAGGTACACAATATTTACAGGTAGTTTTGGTATATTCTTGGGAAGA